CCCATTCGCTATCTGTCTTACACGGGACGGGAGCAAAAAAGGGACCGGGACAAAAAGACCCCGCGATAATGGTCCCACGCACTAGCGACAGCCTCGGGCCATTTTAGGGTTTAGTACAATGGCGACGCTTGAACGGTAATCGACGTTTTATAAGAAGCACTAGAGCGCTGTTACGCACCGGGACCTTTCCAGCCGATGGATAACCTTTGTACGCCAGCGTCATTAGAGTCACTTCCTGCGCTTTTAACGCAGATCCAACATTAGTATTTCGGTTTCGCGGTGGCGGCAGAAATCGTGACCGAAAATTGTAGCGCATTTTTTGAGTAAAAGTGTCGCGTTGTACAAACAGCGACATTAATGGCCCTTGCGTGAATAAAATTTATATGTTTCGTTTAAAAACAACCGACTTTTGTGCAAATCCTTTACTGTGGTTTTAACAAAGGTCTTTCATTAAATATTTAAAACAATACAATTAAAGGATGGCGGAGTACCGTGCTGGTCTAAGTCACGTCGTTTCGAGCCCAATGAATTGCAACACTAATTCGAATATCGTTAGATGAATCAAATAACGTTCTGGGAATCAAATATGATTTCGTTTGCCTTTAGAAATGAAAGCGACTGTGGGGGTGATTCGATTTGAAGACGACGTCAGTTTATGACACTGTTGGCCCATTACCACCTTCTCTGTGTGACTTGATAAGCGCCATTCGAAAAAAGAGCGATTTACTTAATGCGAGATAAAATTTAGACGTCTCACGGCAAAGGTTGTTCTACAAAATTCCCTTTAAAAGTGGAAAATTCGGGGACGAGAGGGAGCGCTCGACGGCACGCTAATGGCATCGCTTTAAAAGGAAACGAAAATAATAAATTATTGACATCAGTCTTTTCTATCGCGCCTGGGAAATTATTTATTTTATCTTTTGGCGAAACTCTTGGTTGTTTGTTTCAGGGTAATGCTTTATGCAGCGGTCACTGAGATGGAAACAGGTGCCAAATTTATAAATAAACTCTATTAGCATTATGCTTATTGTCAGTTTGACTGGAAAATGTCGTATTTTACGAAACATAGTGCACAAACTATTTATTCCAACACAAGTCTGAATATAGTACCATGAGATCAAACAAATGAATTCTAGCTTGTTAACCGCACAGAGAAAACAGCCTATTTGGTTTCGGAGTCAAAATAGATTAAAATGTGAAGTAAATATCAAACTGCAAGATACCGTAACAAATCAGTGGCAACCCATGTGAACTAACTGGTTTGAACACGATGAACTTAAATCTGAAACAGAAACAGTCCCATAAGTTAGAAACAGTACTTAAAACTGTTCTGTTGAACTAATTGTACAAACAGTGCGGTGTTCGTGCGGGCCTAATGATCACTGCAGGTGGGCTCCAGCAGCGGCGGCTAGTGCAGAACAGATGTGGGCGAGGTGTGCCCGCGACATAGCGCACAGTACACGACCGCGACAAAGGAGGCATCGCATGAGATAACAAGGGGGAGAAGTGGCGGCCCCATTACAGCGCCTTGAGGCACTCCACTGTTTAATGAACGCTAGCGAAACGTATAAGTGTAGTGTTCTCCGGGGATATAAAGATTGTATTAACGTAGTTTTGTATTTGGCGTATTTTTTCCAAGGTCAGAGAGTCATGCAATTGCACCCCAATTTCTAATACTTTTTTTTATATTCGCTTACTTTAAGAAGCAAAGTAAAAATTGAAGTTACAGGAAGTTTTTGGTCATTTCTTCGTAAGCGCAGAAAATCTCGTAGCTCTTAATATAAAATAAAACCCAATAATGAGGAAACGAAAATGAGAAAGAGTAAAAGAGCAATGATAAGCGGCGAACATCGAATCATTAAGTTTCTTTACAGCTCTTTGAGCGTAATAAATGCAAGTTATTTAGTTTGGGAACTTAATAAATTCTGGCGTACGAATGAAAATAAAAGACGATCGGTACATGGAGTGTGCCAAGTGGCGATTGGCGATCGGAGACCGACTGGCGACGACGATAATCGCGCTTTGGCAGCATTCCGAGGGTATTGGGACCCGTGTCGGCAATATTAAGTTTAGTGGCTGTGAAACGAACATGCCGATGAGGAATTCCTGATTCGAATACCGGCTTGATTTAATTTGGTTTGTGTGTAAAGAATTGAATCACACGTTCGATTTGGAACAAACAATTTAGGTTTTAGTTTTCGGCGTTACCGACGTACCAACGCGCAACCGCAACTAGAGATAGTGGTCCTCACCGATTTTATTTGATGGTTTGATTCGCTTGTATAAAACAAGTATGTAGTGGGTATACACATATGTAATCCGCGAAACATGTGTAAAGCCAACCTAAAATATTATGGATAGTCATCTTCCAAAAAGTAAGCGACATGGTGAGTTTCACCTTTTCCAGGTAGCTGGCGTGAATGACGCGACCTTTTCCTTACGACGACCTTTCAGAGCGCTGAACGCAAAGATCCCTTTACCAATAACATTGGGCTGAACTAATAATTCATCGAGATTAGCGTTAAATTCACTCACGGTTCGATTTAATCACGAGCTCTTGAAACTAATGGGGGGCCCACTTAATGTACAAATAGGAGCGCTGTGTAATCTGGATAGAGATTAGGCCGGGATTGAGGGGTCACCGGGTGAGGAGAGCGGGGTGCGGGGATTGTCCCTGGAGGCCGTGCTCACGACCACTTCAATGATAGGGTTTTGTACCCACGTGCTGAAATTTGTGCTAAGGGAAAATCCGGAATTGACCAGTATACATAGACAATGTAGATGTTTTAATAACTTGAAATGCCTTCGTAACAAATATCGTCATCGTTCCGCTACTTGAACTCTTCTGAAAAAGAGAGTGTCGTAAAATTATCGTTCCTAAGAAATTTGCTTTTTTATTTATGCAAGAAATGAATACGGTCCTCAGATTCTAGAACAGTATGGACTAAATCAGTAAGGCTTATTCTATGCTGTTATCTGTATTTGAAGATTAATTTATTTTTCTGTGGACAGTTGCCAACGACTATTCCGACTTTGACTAGTTCATGGAATTCGTAGTAATATTCTCAGTCATTGCAAATAACCATTTGGGCGTCTGGCCTAGCCTTGAATAGTTGTTCTCATTAATTCTCACAAGCTTTCAAAGTTTTAATTGCTCTATTTTAATGAGTCTATATAAAACGATCTCAGAGGCTCCAATAAGCAGTCACTTGCCAATTAGGGGAAGCACTTTGAAAGTAATAAAAACTCAAAGATTTACTGCAGCAGCTGTCTCTTAACTAGTATTGTTTTGCGCTTGTTCGGTTCTCGTCTTGGAAGAGTTTGTTTCAGTTCTCCGCGACCTACGAAATCGTTCATCTTATCTTTCTTAAAAGTAACTAATAAGACTTTTCGTTTAGCGAACATTTTGAATAAATGGCAGTAAACTGGCAAATAAATTATCAAAAATTCATTTCTCCGAAATCACAAGATATACCGTTCTAGCTTGCTGATTTTTCGAAATACTTGGGACTTGTAACCTGGTATAATAAAATGTTCTTGTAATTCTTTAATCAGATGAACAAAATGAATTAAGGAAATGGTGGCAATTTAAAAAAAAAAACGTTTTTTCAAAACATTGGCTACGTCACCATATTTGGAAAACTCTTATTTTGATCCGAAACAATGCTGACACCCTGTATTCAACTAACGGGTCCCGGGTGGCATGTTTGACAAATAGAGGTCTCGTGCAGCGAATTTGGCTTGAAAAAAAATGTCGCGGAACGATCTACCATGAAACCTATACCTAATACCAGCTAACTTAGACCTACTTCCCCTCTCTTGATTTGAGAAAATCAGGAGCACAAGGGAATTTATGTGCCAGTGGCTGGATCCATGTACATTGGCGGCGATACGTCGACTGCAATAAAGTAAATTGCGAGCATTTGCTATACGAATTCGGAGCAAGCACGATCTTTATGGCGCCGATAATGTTATGGGCAGGTAAAGTTCTGTTTCGAATGTACAAATATGCTAGGTTTATTGTTTTGTGATGCCTTCGTTTTGGATCGTTTATTTCGGAGCGGAATGTTTACGAAATGTTATTATGATTTACTATTAGGTGGTATTTATTGTTTACTGATTACTTAATTTCACACTCTGGCCACATCTGGAAAATTACAACCTTTTACACTTTTTTACGAGTGTAGTTTAAAAATTTTACAAACAAAATTTGTCGATAATTTTATTATGCTTCAATAGGAGAGATATAAATTCACATATAGTGTGAAATTTTATTGTAGCTGTATTATACCAAGGGTACATACGAATTGTTGTTATTTTAGTTCTTGTTTAAATTCTCTAAATCAGCGTCAGACCATTAGTGTTGGGGGCGAGTGCGGGTAGAGGCAGTGTTGTCAATTAGGTTGTGTGTAGTGGCGGCAATCAGCTTGCGGTCGAAGATGTCGCAGCTCTTGATCGCATCACGTCTGTAATGTGACGGGCTGATGGCTCTTGTGCGGGGACAATCGGCACGCCAGCTCGCCGATTAGCGCAACTGTTTGCTTAATCGGACTTGATCTGAAACACCTGGTACCTAACTGTAATTTTGTAATTACGGTCATGATTTGGTTGTAGGTATAACGATATCGGAATTACATAATACTATTTAACATTTTATTCTCGTAGCAGTGCTTGATGTAATTTATCAGTACAAAGTACTAAAAAAAAGACCTCGACATTTCGTGGATTTACATCTATTTGCCAAGTTTTGTTGAAATCGGTTACCGGAAAGTGCGCTAAACCGGATTCATCCCTTAGTTTGCTACCCTTAGAGGTGGAATAATTTCTTCAATTTGATAAATGAGACCACTACTGAGGTATCCTCTTTCGAACAAAAAACCATTCACAAAAGCGTTATCGCGGAACATATGTACATACAAAAAAAAAAGACGAATTGAGAACCTCCTCCTTTTTTTTTGAAGTCCGTTAAAAATATTTGAACGTATTTGTTTTATTTTCAGATGTGGGACAGTGAAAAAATGTGAACTGGAGTGTTATAAGAAGATGGTAGCGAGCCACTTAGCGTGGGTCAAATGGAAGCCGTGAGATGAAGACCGTCACCATGGCAAATAAGATGCTGCTGTCACTGCTGCTGCAATGCATCTGGGTCGTCACCACGGCGTCCATCAGTAGTGGAGGTCAGTTGGATTAAACTTTTAACCTTCTGGTATTGATAGCATAGACTATAACGCTTGCTATCGTGTTGAAAGGATTTGCCAATCGGTATAAGGTACTCGCCGAGGGTTGTTCGGGACTCGCCAAACGTACAGGAAGGGTGGGACCTCGTACATAGAGGCCTTTCGTGCACCCCAAACTTAACTTTAATAAACGAGTAAATAAACTTCGTCTGTCCAATATTAGAACAAAAACGTGAGTAGAAAAGAAACTGCAAAACAACATCAGTAAACATTACACAACCACGTACTGCTATTTTTAGCCGGAGAGTCTTTGTTTATCCACATGAGGTGGACACTTTACCTTCAATAATAGCGAGTAACTATTATCTATAACGAAGCTGTATTGTAGCGGCTCAACACGTAATCAGATCAAGAGAAGGCGTTTATCGCCTTCACTCATCAGGCATTGGTTAGATTGAGACAAGGATCATAGCAGCCGTCGTTTGCTTAGGATACTTTTATTTTGCATTTTCAAAAACCCAACACTCGATTAGGGTGTGTTTACCGGTAGGGATATTAAACTGGTAGCCATCCACCGCTCGACTGACTCTGTACGACTCGTTAACTTTGTGTATCTCGGACTTTATGTGACCTGGAAATAAAAATAAAGAACAATGTGTTCATATTGTGTATAGAATTTGGTCGCAATTTAGCCAACACAGGTCTGGAAACAGCGTTATAAATTTATATAAATTATAGGTGCTTTCGTGGGGGCTGTCCTGCAGATAAAACAAAAGAGAGCAACTTCAGTGCTTTGAGAAAATTTAATGTTAATTTAAAATTGAGACTCTATGAGGAAAGTAACTATGACTTTTTTATTAAAAAAAACGATCAAGTTTGTTGGAATGATGTCTATTTGCCAAGTTTAATTGAAATCGGTTAACGGAAAGTAGATGAAATCGAAAAAACCGGATTCATTCCCTAATTTGCCACTAAGTTGGCTTCCACTGAAGTACTTTCTTTCCAACAAAAAAATAATTATCAAAAGCGGTTCACAAATGACGTAGTAATCGCGTAACATAAACACAAAAATAATAAAAGTGAGAAGTTTTCCCTTTTTTGAAGTCGGTTAAAAAGGATGTATAGCGGTATTAAAACCATTGACATCAAGCTGAACTAAATAACTATAAATCCTTATCTACAAAGACACCAACTTGTTTGGTCGGTTTGAAACAAAATCAGAACTTTGTAGGTGCTACGCAAATTACAAACGGCAAAGTACAAAAACAAATAATCCATTTTGTGAACAAATACTAGTAGAACTTTCTAATCTCGTGGCTACTGTCCACCAGCGCCTTTAAAATCATATTGATTTGGTATCGGGTATCTGTAATGAATGGAGAGTAAAGACAAACGCTGTCAAAGCAGGCTCTCAAATATTGGGTATCTGGGACGCGTTAAATATTAGACGAAACGACGCTGGGGACGATTCAAAGCCTCTCGAAATAAACGCCAATGTTAAATCCTATCAAAATAATTGTAGAAATCAGATTCTTTTTACTTATAACGAGCAATTTCTTATTGAATCGCGAAGATCAAAGTTGAAGACTTTGTGAAAGAAATTCATAAGTTATTTGAAAATCATAAAATTCATTAATAACGTACAGGTGCTTCTAGTTAGAGATATTGAACGAATGATTAGGTTGTTATGTCAAGTTGAACGGAATTCCTTATAAATATTAATTAGAGGAACCTATACATTTATATAATGCGCTCTATTGCAAACACAATGGAGAATAAATCCGCAATTTTCTTTTGTCATTCGCTCCACAAACTCTAAAGCTTACAAAATCCCTTTTCATTTTCAGCCAGTAAACATATTGCCTAGGTGTGCCTTTACAAAATTGTATTAGATGGAATATAAGCAATCCGCAAAATTGCACTAAAATATTCTCTTATAGACCTAGCAACGATACATACGTTACTGCGAAGCGAAACAAAAACACGGGCTTACCGAATGAGGATGTCTCTAAAAACACATTCCATTGCGAGTCTAGAGCAGGAACAAAAAAGAGATGAGGAGTTTGGCGTGGGTTTGATAAAAAGTTGGAGGGAACATGTTAATGTGAATATAGTCAGAGTGTTGTTTAAAGGCGTATCATGCGTATGCAGCCGTGGAGAAGGCGGAGCAGCGTAGCGGCTTATTATTGGAAGTAATTTAGCTTTCAAGTGAGGTTCAATTACAGTACAGCGGAACGCGGCGTAAGGGCTCCATGAGTTGTCGATATTTATGAATGTTTTAATGTTTAATTCGCTTCGTTTGTACTGGTTTTTTGATTTTATTATATTTCGTTTAAGATACGGAAATGAAGCGTCGTTTGAGTTTAGATTGAAATTAGTTGGGTCCATTTATATAAAAAGCAATAACCTGTTTAAACTCGTCATTTTTAATTCTCTTTTCACCGTTATAGCTTGTTTTGAAGCATAACTACCTCGGCAATGTTTAACAAACTATAACATTAAAACTGTTGAGAGCTTCTTTTATCTGAATGAGTAGTTTTGCAACATTGTTCATCGGTTTATTTTTATTTTCATCAACTAGCGACAACGGCGCGTGCGCTGGGGGTCGTCCGCGGGCGGACGGCGTGCCCGGCATTTCACCCGGCGGATTAGTATTCTTTGCCGCTGCCGCCGCGGATATTAGGTTCACTGTGTTTGAGATTCCAATGCATAATAAAATGTGAAACCAACTATTGAATGTCAATAATAGGAACGGTGGCAAGGACTGTTAAAAAACTCTTTCAGATATCAGTAAGCTGGAAATTCACGCAATACAATGCCTTTCAACTTGGTTTACGTCAAGTCGTAAATGTCAAGTATATTTTCAGAACGGTTTTTCTCGGTACCAAGTAACACGGCCTTTTTGATATTCATTTTCCGTTTTACTACTAAATAAATCAATTAAAAATTTCCTTTCAACTAATAGCGTCATTCATTTAAATGTCAATAAGTCATGTAGAGTCATGCAGATAAAAAAAAAAATTACGTTTCACCGAGTGATGATATCGATCATTTTGCCGAAAATGGGCCACGAAACCTTCCGCAGGATAAACTAAAAGGTTAGCATGAGATTAAGAGGATTGATACAGATAGAAATAATGAGACCAATAAATAATAAAATGGTACAGTAAGAAAGTAGCAAATAATCAGAACATAAATGACAGCTGGTATTTAAAAAAAAGAAGAACCTGCGCTGTAAGTGTCAGCAAAATTTGGCATAGAAAATATATAGTTCTCGTCGTTTTATATATACATGCGTTATGATTTGACGGAAGTTTTGCGAAGAGTTAAGGTAGGTGGAATCGAGGTATATCTTATGCGGCGACAATTTCGTTGGGGCGGCCACATATCAAGGATGGCAGAGGGGTGAGTGGCAAAGCGCATCTTTTATTCGGAACTCAAGGGGAGCAAGCGAAATCATGGCGAACAACTCCTTAGATATAAAAAAGAAAAGAAAGCCCGACCACCTGAGGCGATCAGCTACCATTACATTGACGGTGTGCTTACGTGCCCCCTGTGCGCACGGATCTTTACTAATAAGATTGGGTGTGAGAGCAGAAGCAGTTGCCGTGGCCGAAAACGGGCAGGAGAATTCATTCACATATATTATATAAAGAATGAATTAATGTAATATGACAATAAGAAAATAGTGATTGTTGGACACGACAAAGTAATTAAAAATTAAAAGACATAACAGACTGACTGAAAATTATACGAAAAGACGTTTTTCGCGAAATCTAAGGTTAGACGGCGCCTAAGTTTACCTACCCTCATTTCCTTTAAAATTATATTATTGCTGTCCTTTTTAACCTGCTGCAACTAAACTACTATTCTTAGTTGAGATAGTCTACAACTAACCTTCCTCTGTGGATTCACCGCTATATTTAAAGACTTAACGCACTTTGCGTAGTCTTTTGCCATGTGTGAAATACTGCTTGTATTTTACTGTGTTTGCTGTATTGTACTTAAATGTGATATGTTAAATCAAGTGATCATTATCGTAACTGGTAGTTTCCTCTGACCGCCACCGCGCCAGCGCAACCGCCACGCCTCTCACCGCATTTGTCGGAGACCCTTAATTAGGCTGTCTGCTGGAAGTTGAGGAAGAACATTGCTAAGGACAACATACGAGCACGAAACCCACCTCTAAGGTCACCGTAGTATAGTTCAGTTGTTCAGCGCTCCCTTTACCTGCCAACCCGTCCAGACATTCCTTTCTATACAGTCCACTTCTCTTCTTAAAAGCGTCACAACGAACGAAACACCTATATAACATATCAACCCGCTTGTATGCGGCGCGTATGGTCGCATAGCTTGATTGCCACACTGGTACATACGTCAATAAAAGAAATCTTAATCGCATTACAGATCAACAACTTATATGTAATAGACGTACTACTAACCATAACCATATCAATTGTCAGTTATGTTGGGCTTATACGGGCACAGTCACAAAAAACCCGTGAAATTTTCTTTAAATTTTAAGAATGGCTGGCATGGAAATGGTTCGCTATAATAAGAATAAAACGTCGATTGCTTTAAGGGCTTAACATTTAAACGTTTTATTTCCGTAGCAACCATATTTACAAAGAGTACATCCAAAGATGAAAGGGACTATTGCAGAGATTTTCATAAGAAACGAAAAATTAAATAGAATAAATGGAAAAAAGGGTTGGAGGCGTTCTCAGAATTGTCAGACTTGGAAGGATACATGAAAGCCTCTTGACAGGCTCTAGCACATATGTAAAGGCGGCTTTACACGGATGAGGTAGCGAACGCATGACACCGCTCGATATTCATTCAGTGCCAACCACGCGGAATGAATCTGATGCGTCGACCGATTTCACTCAAAAAAACGTATTGCCGTTGCCGCCTCGCCGCATCACCGCCCTCGAAACGTCAGGAATCTTCGCTTCAATCAATTTAGCAATTGTTTTACACTTAACTTTGCATTATGCTTG